TCTTGTTTTTTATGTTTTATATACCATTTTATAGCTCGTGAAATTCTCTATCGAATGGTATATAATAGTTCGGGTTTTATTTGACTATGATAGGAAAACTTTTTTCTGAAAACTGGGATGGATCGATTTTTGCATAGGATAGCATAGGGAACAATGACTATTTTTGCAATAACCCTTCAATGACTCTGCAAATCATTCTCATCTTCAAACTCGACCGAGATATTGTTGAGACTAAACTGTATAGAAAATTTCATCGCTATCGAACTCACCTTTCAAAAGTTATCGCGTAACCGGCCGGCCGGCCACGCTGACCTATTCTAGAGTTTACTCCCTTTTTGAGTACACAACAAATGTGTCATGAAATAAAGAAAATCATGAGACGAAAAACAAGTATATGTTATGAAAATATTCCGTCATAGAAAGAAAAAACTTCAATTACAACAAATTTACAAAGAAAAAAAAAATGTCGAATCATTTTGACGATGGCAAAAAAGTGGCAGTGGGTGATTTTTCTTTGAAAGGAAGGAGAAAGGTATGGATGTCATTTCGCTTGCTTTCAAAGGTTCTTTATTATCAAAAACTCTTTTCTTTATTCTTTTTTTTTACGTTCCTTTCACTACTAATCTTCACACGAAGGATGAAATATTTGACATTATCAGAGTAAAAGACAAACGAGATACAAAATAGTAATATCGATAGTTAATAGTTACTATTTACAGGAGTTTTGTAACTGCATCGAAAATATTCGTGCTCGTGCTAGTTTGCTAAGAAGCCATCTTTGCGCGATGAAAGACCTCATTTTAAAATGTAGTTGTTTCATTTTATCAGCGGCGTAGAACTCATAATGACAGTTAAATTCATTTGGTCGAGGATAATTGTAGACTTAAAGGATCTGAAAATCCCTAGAAGTTTTCAAAATTTTCTTGAATTTCTTAGACATCCTTGATGCCATAAGATGTCAAGACTCCGCTATTCATCGCTTAGACTATACGATATTCACAGCCAAAGCTCTATAATTTGTCTTATTCTTCATTAATAATTTTCAAACAAAGTTGTATCATACGGACAGATGAATAGTTTTGATTATAAGTATATACGAAATAAACATATTTTATTTAACAGTCGAAAATTTTCATTCATTTACAGACATCTTCATTAAATGCACATATAAAGTGTAAGATATACAAAAGAGAAAGGTAAATTACTTTATTTATCAATTTTTGCATGTGCTTTAGTATCTAAAAATAAATAATGGCAACAAGAAACCAACGTTTATCTTTACAAATAGTCATTGGTTTAATTGCAATGATTCCAATCTTTGTCGGTTTAAATGGTATTTTTCAAGGTCCGAATGTGTTACTAAAAACTAATGATTATTCTATACAGGTAGATAGTCATTTGCGTTACTTGTCTGGCTTACGTGTTGCCATGGGAATCTTTTTATTACGTAATTTACCAACTATTGATCGAAATGGTGATGATTTATGCCGAGTTTCTTTATTTGTATTTATTGGTGGATTAGGACGTTTATGGGGTTTAATTACGATAGGCTTCGATTTTGATGCAATCATAGCCGCTCTGATTGAACTATTTATTCTCCCAATTATTTGTCTCTGGCAGAATCAAATAGAACGAAAGACTACACGATTACGTCAATAATACAATAACTGTTATGAAGATAAGACACAATGAAAGGACAGTGCTCGTCAAAAGTATCCGGTACCCTGGATATCAGGTTCTTTAAGGTCCTGTGAGCTAAAACTTTGCAGGAATACTTCTCTCAGAGAACCCTACTTGTCATTGCAGACCGTAGCTGAAACGGATTTGTATCTGATGAGATCCAGAATCGAATTCTGCCGTTATTTATATCATCACCATTCACTTACACTAGAAGTTTTTTAGCGAATGAACTCATCATTGGGTGTGGGTGCGGATGTGACTTTGACTCTGGCGGTGGGTGTGTGTGGGTTTTGGTGTGAGTGTGGGTGTGGGTGTGGGTGGGTGCTCGAATAAATTGACGAACCACGTACAGCCACATTTACACACGCTCACAATCCACACACACTCACACCCAGACCCTTCTATCGTACATAGATGACATGTATATTCTTTTCTTTGCTTTTCTGGGTTCATGGTATATTGCATATCGTTCTCTCTCTCTTAATCTAGTTCAGGTGTGTTGGTATATTCCATATCTTTTCTCTTCTCTTGAGATATAGCTTCGGTATATTTCTTCTTATTGATTTTTTTCCCCGAGTACATTCATATATATTACCGTGATATTCGAAATAAAGACAGGCTAGACAGCGAATATTTAACTTATATTACTAAACAAATAAACACATCCTAGAAAATATTCATATATATGTTGTGGTCAAAATTCAATTTCTTTTTTTTTAATGAAAGACGGGTAAAAATTCGATAACAAAGTGTATGGATGTGGAGTGATGGTGCTTGGTTTTGAAGAGTGTGGGTGTAGATAGGTGTGAAAGGAGCACAGCCCTTGGGTTGTCATTTTGCTTTTAATTTAAATAAATTTAAATCATCGGCAATCAAGTTGAAAATAAATCATATTCTTGAGGTCATTCATTTTCGTATGTTTATATATATGAAACAAAAAATTAACATCTGGAATTCATCGAATAGCAGTGTATTTAAGAAAAATATCTAATATGCAAAATTAAAGCTTTATTAAAAAAGAAAAAGAATAGATATTTAAATTTACATAACAAAATA